ACTGGGACGTTCAGAGAAGAACCTGTTATGGCACCTATCAGGGTACATGTGGAAGGCCTCTTCCTTGGTAGCTGCTCCAATGAAGGATACCTAAATTAAACAAAAAAATGCCACCTATCTGGTGAATATTCTGACAATTCTTACATGCATGCATGTTGTAACCCTTCAAGAGAATGTAAGTTCCTTGAAGGCAGAGACTTTTATGTTCGTCTTTTTATTCCCAGGGCCTCACTCATTGATAATTATATTGATAATAATTTATAATAAATGCTTGTCACATTGGATTGCCTAGTACTAGTTCGAGGGACTCATATGTGTGCTGTATTTCTTTTCCGACACTTTTATTTTGAATGGAGGCAAATGTTGGGACAATGATTTGCTGGTGTCAGTAAGGAGATGTCCAGACTGAAGGCAGAAATTTATAGAACGAATTTTTTGGAGCTGCCTAATCGCAGCTCTGGTGAGCTAGGTTATCTGCTTGTATGCTATAGGCCCCAGGGATCTGGCACAGGATTTAACTGTTGCAGCTGCCAGAAGTTATTTAATAAAGTCAGTTGAAAAGAAGGTCAGGGCTCTAGTCTCTTCCATTCACACTGAGGATGACACTGGATATTTATTTTTCTGTTTCTTTCAGGCTAAGCCAACTACCACATTTAAAGTTTTTGACTCAGTTGCTATAATCAGCAAAAATAAATTGGATAACTTGGCACATTAAAAAAAAATGATATGTCATGGTATTTTATTTTCTCATGATTACAGCGTCCTCACTCTCCAACTCTTAGCAACTCTTCTTCAAAATTCATTTAAACTACCCCCTCCTTCCTCCATGAATGTGTTCCTGATTCTCCCAGCTGTTAGCTCTTCCTCAAATGACTCCATTATACATATATATATATATATATATATATATATATATATATATATATATATATATTATAATATCTTATTATATGCATACATGTTGTTTTCCTCTGATAGAATTGTAAGATTGCAAGGGCAATTTGGTTTTAGTTTTTGTATTCTCGGAGAATAACAGTAACTGGCATGCAGTTGGTGCTTAATAAATACAGCTAGGGGCACTGGGCCTGGATTCAGGATGACCTGAGTTCAAATGCAATCTCACTTACCAGCTGTGTAATGCTAGTCAAGTTACTCAAGTCTCTTTTTGCCCCGGTCTCTTTAATTGTAAAATTAGGGATAATAATAGTACTCGCCTTCCAGGTCTGTTGTGAGGATCAAATGAGATAATATTTGTAAGTGATTAGCATAATGCCCGACACACAGTAGTTGTTTAATAAATGCTGGCTGTCGTTGTTGATTGGTTTATTGGCACAATTGTGAACTTAAAAAATCCTAACCAATTCCTTTCCTCTCACTCCATAACCTGAAATGATTAAACAGCAAAATAGACAAAAGGAAGACCCCTTCCCCTTTCCTAAGGGAAGACCATCAGTATCCTCTGCAAGCAATTGAATTGTGATGGGCACTGGTACCTGACCCTTGGCATAGTGGTGAGAGGGCCGGCCTCAAGGTCAAGAAGGACTGCCTTCAAGGACAGCCTCGAACACATAATAGGACTGTGACCCTGGGGCAAATCACTTAATGTCTTAGCACTCTGGGACACTCTCTAAGACTAGAAGTTACAGAGAAGGTGCTGACCTTCATTGGTACAGGGGATTTACCTGGAGTTTCCCTCTGCCCACGAGATCACAAGTTCAGTCCTTTCTGTGTGAGGCCACACTTGGAAAGGGCAGGTGAGAAGGGGTCCAGTGTCATGGAACCCATTAGAAAAAGGAAAACAATTGAATGGCATTTTCAGAAACCAAGAATTCTCCAGCTTACTCTGAAGTTGGCCATACTTAGAATCCAAAGTACTGGTGCCTGGAGTCCTTTTCAGGGATCACAAATTATTCCTGGTACCACTTAGTAATGGAATTAGGCCTGATGTCAGGGAGTGGCAATCTCCTCCAACTTTGTACCCACGGCACTTGGGTACTGACATGCAAAAAATTGACTCCCAATATTTGCCACTGTCGATAATTTCTGAAATTGCCCTGGAATTTTTTAGACAATTCAATTTCTTTTGGAACTGGAAACCCAGAGTTCTCTCCTAGATCCCATTGAGCAAATACGTGTTCATTGGAAATATCAATCTTGTGAAAATAATAGACAACCATAGTATATTCTCTATTCCTAATATCATGCACTAGAATGACCTAGGTGAGATTGTGGCTACCGAAAGATTTCTGCTATCAAGTCCAATACGTCGGGCATCAGTGATAATGTGTAATGATGTATTGCGTTTAAGTAGGTTTCCCATTGGCAAATTATGACCACTCGTGAGATTATTATTACTAAATCAAGGTCACTTATGAGATCTGTTTTGGTTTACTAATTAACTGTGACTCCCCATCACACACAATGATCAGTTTGGTTTTTGGAGTCTTTCTATTCTTACAAGTGATCAGTATCACCGCCACTGTCTGTCCTTCAGGAGTCATTGCTGAGGGCACGCAGGGCACACAGGGCACACAGCACACAAAGTCACACGTCACTGCAAACTCCACCTACTGTTCTGGTTTACAACGCTGTATTGTAACCTTCAGCTTCTTTGCCTTTTGCTGGGGGGCCCTCTGACCCCTCTGCTCCCTCTGCTCCCTCTGCTCCTGCTGCTTGGGGCCTCTGCATCCTGGGTTTCCCTGGGGGATTGGGCCGGACGTAGCCTTCAGCCCCCATCTGGCTTTCCCTACTACTCTCGCTACCAGTGGATTCCGACTCTTCGGAGCTGGCTTTGCTTCCTTCTGTCGATCTCTTACTGCCTTCGTCAGCAGCTTTCTCCTGGGCTTGCACATCTGTAACGTCTTCGGGAGCAGCCAGTTCAGCTTCTTCTTCTTCTTCTTCCGTAGGTGCTGCCTCTTCCACCTTCTGCTCTTCTTCAGACTCTTCTTCCGACGACTCCTTTCTGCGTTTCTTGGGCGCCTTGAGCAGTTCTTCAGGAGGAACGATCCTCCGGCCAACCACGATATTCTTCCTTGCCTTTTCTCCTTCTGATTCTGTAGATTCGGACTCTCCTGACTCAGGGGTGGAGCTCTCCTCCGCTTCTGAGGGGGTCTCTGACTCCGACTCCTCTTCCGAAGTTGTGCTCTCATAAGTGCTCCACTCGGATTCATCACTGTAGTCACTGTACTCGCTAGATTCCTCACTGGACTCCTCTGATTCCACGGTACTCTCAGTGGCTTCCTCCTCCAGTGTCAGTGTCAGGTAATCTCTGTCTTCTACTCCGAGAGCCCTCCGGCGTTCTTCATCTTCTGCCAGCTCACGTACTTTCTTAAATATCATGGGGAATATCTTAGCTTTCTTCCACGTGACACGGGCAGTCTCAGCTGCCGTTGGTCCCTCAATGATCACAGGGACCTCCAGCTGCGCCTCCATGGGAGGCTCTCTAACTTCTGGTATTTTAGGTTTCTTTGGCCTTTCCTGAAAATTATGAAAATGGGATTTGTGATTGGGTTGATGGTTAAGATAAGAACTTGTCCCACACAAGTTAAGGAGGAAAAGATCCAAGCGGTGATGTGTTCACCCAAGAACCTGTTTCTAGAGAAGGAAAGTCAAATAAGATTATATCTTGCCCTGTGCTGAGTTTAAAGCAGTCTTTAATCTGTGTGATGGAATATTTGGGCCGTTTGATGAAGCCTATGGATACCCTTTCAGAATAATAATGGAAACAAACGCTAAATTATACTTAGAAGTTAATGGGAAAAAAAAGAAGTGTTTCTCCCCACCTGACTTCATGGACCCCTTGAATTCTATTCCTGGACTCTAAGTTTAGAAACCCTGCTTCAGAGAGTGGTTAGGAAAGTAGGTGCTCCTGGTTGGTAACACAGATCCCTGCATTAACCTCCGTGGGTCTCACTTTCCTCATTTGTGGAAATGAGGAAGCAGTATTAGATGACCTGTGGGGTCTCTTACCAGCTTTGGAGTTATGATACTAAGAAATTCAAAAGAGGGAATACAATCATAATTGCTTCTCAGAATATTTGTTCTTCAGTTCGGATCTGACTGAAATTATAGAAATTTTAAATTATCACCCTAAACAATAACAACAACAACGACAGTAACAACTGGATGAGTTAAGGTTCTTGGAATAACTAAATAACGTGATCTGTCTGCATTAGACAGGACTAGATTTATTCAGCAAACTGTGATCAAATCTGTGAGATTCTAATCATCTCAGAAGTATCACAGTATCAGCTAGAAATCAAACTAAATGATATTAGAGGATAATTATTTAGCGATTGTAAAATAAGCCCTTCAAGGACAATCATTGCCTTGGCTTTGTCTTTACTGTTCTCAGTGCCCAGCATGGTGCCTGGATCTTAGTAGCAGGTTAAAAATATTTGTCATATTAGTTGGTCAGCTAATAACCATGTAGTAGATTCATGTGCCAGGCACCATGCCAACTGCTAGGGAGACAAAGAAAGGCAAAAGACAGTCTTTGCCCTCAAAGAGCTCATAGTCTATTTGATGAAGAATCATTTAAATTTTGCATAACACAGCCAAGTATTACAGTTTCTTTGGGCATAAAAAATTAAGATATTCCTTTAACAAAAAAAGGTAGGAGGACATACTAGATACATAATAGACAAAAACTGAGCCAGGAAAGCCTAGTTCCACATTCTGCCTTTGATTCATACTGGCTTTTGATCCTGGCCAAGTCATTTGACTTCTCAGCAGGCCACTCTGTGAGATAGTAAGCTGAGGAGAAGGTGCTGATCTGCTTTGCTAGAACTTTCCTTATCTGGGAATTCCTTTGTACTAATGATATCTCTGGTTCAGTCCCTATCCTGATTCCATTAATGCAGGATCTTGGGAAGAAGGAAACCTAGCTGAGAATAGCATCTGACTATGGGAACACAATAAGATCTCCTGAGGTCAAAGAGGATGAAAAGGCATGCTCTTGTCCTGCAAGATTCAGCCCCCCAAAAGCAAAGGCAGTAGGCCTACCTCCTCCTCTGGGTAATACTCTTCCTCAGCTTCTCCCGCCACTTCGCCATACTCCTCACCAGCAGGTGGCAGCAGCCGCCGCGACTTCCGTACTGGGGCATTTCATACCTGTAATAGAAATCTACAACTTTAAGCATCTTTTGCATCTTCTTGATCTGGCATCACTGATATCTGCATTCCTTCTGCTTTCCAAACTCTCAAAGGCCAGCACATGCTGGTATGGGAGTGTTCAGGGATGATTACACAGATGGTCAGTTTCAAAACTTTATTTTGGGGAAAACTGGAAGGACGAGAGAACTTCCAATGAGCCCAAATGCTGCCCACAGATTAGGCTTTTTTGAAAGCTCAATGGACTCGTGCTTACCATCCCACAGTTTCCATTTGCACTGATGCTTGTACTCGTGGGGTGATATGGCTCTGTTTTGAGAAGTGACTTACCAGAGAATGGTGAATTGGGGAAGGTAGGAACAGCTGTTTTTTAAAATACTTTCCATTCATTTCTAGAATACATTTCCTACTTTGTATAATTCTTATTTATTAATTTTCTGTTTGTGTTGTATAGTTACGTGTTTCCTTTTTCCATCAGAATGTATATTCTTTAAGAGCAAGAGTTTTTCTTCTTTTATCTCAGGGTCTATCACTGTGCTTGGCATAGAGCAGGCACTTAAAGTACTTGCTGATTGATGATTAACTCTGATTACGTATTAAATATCTCACACAAAAGATAAGTGGTGAATTCAGGAATTAAATAAAAATGTGTTGATGTCTATTCCCCTCTTCTAATCATTTGTTCTTATTTCTTTTTCCAAGTACTAGAGAATAACTGATTAGAAAAATTGAAAAGACTTTTAGATATAGGAAGTCATCCTCAAAGAAGGATTTGGTGATATGACATTTTTCATGGTGGATACAAATGGTTACCATCATGTAGCTTCCTTAACTTAAGCATGAAAAAAGGAGTTTGCACAAAAAAAAATTCTGTATCTAGGTACAGACTATAAAAATGTGATTTACACTCAGCCAGAATCAATTCCAGATACCATTCCAGATAATTCTGGTATTCAAATAGAGAACTCACACACACACACACACACACACATACTATATATGTATGTGTGTGTGTGTATGTGTATGTATGTATATATTAAAATAAAAACAATTCTTCAATCACATTTCTGGGAAAGGTACCATTTACGTGGATAGAAACTGTTGATGTTTCTTAAAACACTGTTGCAAAAACTCTGCTGGTTTTCAAGCACAATTAAAAATACATACATTACATTCTGTTCAACAAAAATTCTTTATATAAAGTAAATTAGGATTAATTGAGACTTCTAACAAAAATAAAGAATCTTTGGGAAGACAACACAAATTTCTCACCATGTCCCATTCCTAATCTTTTGATTATTGATCTAAAGGACAAAAATTAATTTTCTTTGGTGAATGTTTATTATTTAACTATATTCTTCATGTAAATACCTATCCTAAGAATGAGCCCAAGGCAAAATGTTATATCAGATAAAGTTAAAATCATACTCTGTTTTTATCAATCAGCCTCATGGGACTTATCCTTTCTCTTTCCTTTTCTGATGCTGCTGCAACAGCAAATCTAAGGCAAATGATCTGGTATCAACTATTCACACATCAAGGTGAATTTTAGTGTTCCTTCTAATGTTATCTCTGCTAAATGCTCTTCACATTATGTTCTGTATTTTAAGCCTTACTGCTAATTATGAACTAAATAAATGCTTCTTTCTCTTGTTAAAGGGGTTTTAATGTTCAATGAGAAAAAGGGGAGGGAAGAAAAGACATAAATCATGGATCCGTGGCAGTTCTTAGGTTTCTCAAAATATTCCATGTAGGAAGCTTCCTGTTGTATGTATGTAGAAAGTTGGTCTTTGTCCTAATACATTTCTTTCTTGCCAGAAATATTTAAAAACTTGAAACTTTCTTGAGACTAGCACCTACTCATCTTCCGATGTTACTTCTTCTTTCCTTTGAATTTTCCTTCAAAGTGAGGAGTAGAGGGTGTTAAACATGGTGTTAAAGGTTAAATGAATAATTAGGCAGTGTTTGCATCTTTTAGCTATGGAGCAAGATAAAGGAGGAGTTCAGGTATGGGAGGCAGGGAGAGGTACCAGCTCGAAGTTCTTCCAGCTAAGGGAATTCTTCTGTCTCTGAGGACAAGGGATTCACCAGGTGGTGTTAATTCAGTTAATTTATTTATGAATTAGTCAAGTAAACAACTCTCTTTGCCACAAATCAATCCCAGACTTGAGATTCTATAGATATTTCCCAGTTTAGCAGTGATAAGAAGTGGGAAACATTTTCTGCTAAACATGGAGATGATGAAGAGAGTTGGACACAGTGTTGTGACCTAGTTTTAAGACTTTGAGTCGGAAGGATTTCGAGGAATGCCAAGGCTGAAGATTTTTGCTCTCTCCTCCCCCAGTGCTTTACAGCAGAAAACTCCCTCCCAGATCCTCCACTAAAGCCTTTCTCTGATTCTTCATCATGGAATGGAGTTATCTTTGGGTTCTCAAAGGCTTTGCTGCTGTAGGGGTCTACCAACTGGAAATTTATTCATTTTCCCATTCAACTCTGAGTCTTGACAACAGGGACTGTTTTTGCAGTTTTCACTGTGTTCCCACTGCTTAGTGCATATAGCGGGTGATTAAAAAAGGTTTGTTTTTATTGATGGAAAGTTGGAACTAGGGATATTGCTGTCTTCTACTTCACTGTACCCATATTCTTAACACCAATTGCCTTCTGTTCTTTAAGAGCTTAATATTTATAGATTGATTGATTACTATTGCTATCACTGCTTCAGGAAAGGGTATGCCAATTATTATATTTTATGGATCAACTCACCATCTCTGGCCACCACTCCTTCATGTAGGTGTATAGTGCCCCCCCATTCCTTTTTATTTCTGTATTTCTGTCTGTCTCTCTCTCTTCCTCTCTCTTGTGCCAATGATTTTCATTGATTCCTATAATCATCAGAAGGCTGGATTCAGGGCAATTTTTGTTTTGTTTTATTTGCCATACAAACTCTGAATGATGACATGCTAGGCCACAGAACAGTTATGTCATCTGCATCCATGGAATGGGTACCCACACTGGCAAATATTAGAAATTCTTGAAGCATTGAATTATTCCCAAGAAGCCATCAGAACTCATTATTAATGCCTTTATTTTCCATGGAAAGGCAGGTATTGAAAATGAAATAATTCCCTTAGCATCGTTTGATATAAAGTTATGAAACCAGGAAATGTTATCTATAGAGACCTGGCTGTACTTATGGTAACTGGTCTTTGAGTCATACGAACTTTCTTCTGACAGTGTCCTGGTTCTTGAAGAGGTGAAGACAATATATGTCCAATCTATTTCTCAGAGAGCATACTTTTTAAAACCCCAGACGTCCTAAAATGTGAGTGATAGCATGATGTATTTTTAAAATCAATAAATATTAAATTTAGAGTCTAAAGGCCTGGGTTTGCATCCTTAATCAAACACTTGCTGACTACATGACTTCATGAAAATCACTCACCCTCGCTGAGCTTCAGTTTTTTCATCTGAACTATGGGTGGGAATTATGATAAGTACTTTAATTTCTAGATGATTTCACTCACACAGCTGTTGTGAGGAAAATGAACTTTAAAGAGTTATAGAAATGTAAACAATGATGCAGTTGGAGTCAGGGAGCCTGGGCACCAAGTGCGGCATCTGATGCTGGCTAGTAAGGTCACCATGGCAAGCCTCTTAATGTCTGTAAGATTAAGTTTCTTCTTTCAAATATAGACAATACCTGTGGTGCATACCTCTTAGGGCTACCATGAATTTCAAGTGAGAGAACTACATAGATTTTAGTTATTCTTCCCTCCAACAAAAGCCTTTAGGAAGCCTTATAGTACAAAGCAAAAATATTGGGTAAGAACTAGGAAAGGCCCCAGAGACCATCTGGTCCTACCCCTACATTTAAAGATGAGGAATCTGGGGCAGAGAGAGTTGAAGAGATTTGTTTAAAGTTACATAGGTTTTTAGTGTCAGATTCAGGATTTGAATCTAGGCCCTGTGACTTTAAAGTCAATGTTCTTCTCATCTACAGTGATATCTCTTCTGCCTAGCTAACTGCATAATTGCAATGACTGACTAAAGAAAACCATGTCCTTACACCTCCAGACCCCACAGGACTGAATACATGGGCCAATGAAATGGAATGTTCTCATCAGTGAAAGAATTCAATTCAGCCAACTTGTCACTAAAGACAAAAGAAAGTATCCAAGAAAGATATATGCCAGGACTAGATCACAAGGTCTGAGGTCCTCCCTGTTAGTTTTAGGGGTTTTTTTTTTTTGGGTGAGGGGAGAGCATGGTGGGATGGTGACTGTGCCTCATTTATATTTGTTTTCTTGAAGCTCTGAGCCTAGGATCCTCTACAGTCACTATGGAATAAATGAGCTGAATGAATGGTCTGACTGAAAAGGAAAGTGAAGAAAAGAGGTTTTTCATGGAAAACCATCCCATTGACCTGATCTGACCCAGTCACTCAGATCTCCTTGCTTTAGGGTGGGCAATATAATAGGGTGAGAGCCATGCTGGTTTGGGAGTTGGAGTACTCTTTGTTTCATTTGTCTTTTGTGCCCCTAGTGCCTAGCACAGAGCCTGGGACATAGCATGCACTTAATGAATGCTTGCCAATTGATTAACTTGGGTTTGAATCCCAGGTCTATAAAGTGCAAACTGTGTGACCTCGAGCAAATCACTTCCATGTTCTGGGTCCTCAGTTTCTTCATTTGTACAATAAAGGAATTATCTGAGCAAAAAGCAACAGATCTGAACAGATCTAAATCTCTAATCTGATGATGTTTCCAGGCCTAGCCCTCAGTGAAACTGAAGGAGCCAATGAGTTTTCTGGCCTTAAAGTTCTCCTTTCCCCTTCTAGCCCACATCTTCATGCTTCCTTTACACTCTGCCCTTTTATGAATTTCTTAGGTAGAACTCTGATGTCTTCCAGCGGTACCAAGGTTGAAAAAAAGACAGAACAGAATTTAATTCAAAGGGAGAGAGGTGGTTTGATTTTGGAATTGAGCTGGCAGCAAGCAGTA